TGGGCTTCATCGTGCTGGGGGTCATGATTCGGATGACTCACGCAGTCGCTCGGCTCGTTCGGCCACGAGAAAATGCTGCGGGGCGTTCACCGCGCTCCTCGACTACACCAAGATCGACTACGGGGGGTTGGCAGCGGGGATCACACCGGCGTCTGAACGACATGGCACGTTCCATGCGTAGCAGCCTCAGCTCTGAGGTTCAACGGCAGGTGAACGCCTCGCAGGCCCTCACCCTGAAGGAGGTCAAGCTGTCAAGAGCGACGGCGACGCCAGGATGGCCGCCATGGGAGCATTTCTTCAGCTGCTCACGAACCGGGCCAACGGACAGCCGCCTCCACAGTCTGGGGACGCTGCCGCTGCGGGCGGGGACACCACCAACCCCTGGCTGACATTCGGCGCCTCGCGGGACTCTGACAAGCTCGCCAGTCACCTCGCGAAGGATTTGCGCGAACTTGCTAACCGACCGAAGGCCATGGAAGCAGGACGCGACACCAGTGTTCGAGCTTCCAGCAGCTCGGGCAGCGGAGCTAGTGTCTATCAGGCTCCTGTTAATGATTGTAGGAGATGGATCGGCACTTTCCCCAGAACTACCATTGGCTCACAGAAGCAGGCCCACTGGGAGACTGCCATCAAGCCCTCGCTGCCATCGCACATTCTCGAGAACGCGCTGCCCGAGCTGAAGGGGTCTCCAAGAGGAGTCATGGCATCGTCTTTCCTGATGCCGCTGCTGCGCGGGCATTCTGAGTTCCTCGCCGACGAGGTGTTGGCTTGGAGGGGCCGGCGCGCGGCAGCCGCGGCAACGCTGCGAGCGCGGCGGGATCTGCCCCTGGATGCGAGGTCGAAGCAGCGTGCCGCGAGCAAGGACTGGGAGGAGACTTTTGGCCCTCTTCCGCAAGTGCAAGTGCGAGTTGGACGGCTACCGCCCGGGGGCCAATAGCTTCCAGGGCCTGATTCACCTGACGTCCGCGCGCGACGCCTTCGAGATCTGCTGGATCAAGGGTGGCGAGGCCAGCGGCTTCACTCCCGAGCCCGTTTTTGAATCCGTCTCTTGGTGGAGGACCCCCGAGTCTGAGGTCGCGGACCTGATTGGGGGGGTGACCGCCCATATATAGGATGCACCTGCGCGAGAACATCTACCAGTGCATGCTGATCGTGTTCCGCAGATGGTGGCGGGCGCAGCCGCGGGTCCACGACCTTCCCCAACTTCGAGGGCCAGGTCGTCGCTGCGCACTGGCTGTAGTGCACTGAGGCCTGCGAGTTCGAGGTCCTGTTTCCTCCTCCGCCTCGCCCCCCGCCTGCCACTGCTCCGAATCGCCCATCCGCTTGCAGCCTGTGCCCCGGGATTTGTTCTATCCCCCTCCCCAGTGGTCTAAGCGTTCCTCCCCTCAGCTCCTCGCTGAAGGTGGTCACGTGGAATTGCCGCGCGCTCGTTGGTTCGATTTGGGGGTGCGCCCAGACGCAGCGCGCCACCTGGAGGCACCTCCGCAAGCTGTCAGGCACTCGTGATGCAACCCTCCTGCAAGAAAGTCATGGCGAACCTGCGGGCCTGCGAGCTGCGGAAAGTGTTTCCTAAGTGGAAGGTGCATGGGTCCTTCGCGCATTCTGTCGGGGCTGGGAACATCGTTTTCATTTTCAACGAACGTCTCGCCATTCGCTTCTCCAGGTTTTGGCATGCACCGGCCCCCGTTGGCCGCGTCGGGATCTTGCGCATGCTCGGGGAGGAAGGTACTCTAGATCTGGTCAATATCCGCATTATCCCGATCCTCTCTCACGTCCAGGCCCAGGGCTTGCCGTGCAGTATTCGTGCAAGGGCACGGCAGTCTGCGGTCGCCACCGCGGTCATGGGCGATGATTTCAACTTCTATGCGCAAGGGGAAGGTAGGTTGCAGCTCGCCAATAATTTGAATGAGGTTCGGTCTAATTATCATCGCTAAATACGTCGACTCGGTCTTTCCCCAGTTCATTGCTGTTCATCAAACACCATCGTCATGCAAATCCGTTCGTTCTGATAATGTCACGTCGATTGGCAGACTGGATCGCATCTACATCTTCCCCCGCCTCCGATTTCCTGGACCTGAACCCTGTCGCCGGCGCCTGCTGGGGGCTGTTCGACCGCCGCGCCCCGAGCGACCGCGTTGCAAGACATTTTCTTGTCTCTGACTGGAGGCAAGAGGTCCCCGAGGCAGACCACCCCCCAGTGGGTGGCTGGACACCCGCGCCTCTCGGCAGGGATGATTGGCCTGCTTGGGTGGGCGAATCTGCCCGCGTGCGCTCTCTCACGGGTTAGCGAGGTTAATGAGTTGATGCGCGAAGCCGCGCGGAGGGTGAGGAAGATTGCGGAATTCCTCGGGCCACAAGTTCTTAGTCAAACAGCGCCCTGGATGGTTGCCCTTCTGCGTGCTCATCGGGATGGGAAGGGGGGCAGTCGCGGACAGAGCCTGTCGGGCGTGGTGCGAGCTCGACGATGTTTACGAGTTGCAGGCGCATCAGCGCGTGGACCTGGAGGGCATCCACTCCATGCTCGCCTCGCTGCAGCGTGATATCTACAGCCGAGAGGAGAGGGAGGTTTTGCAGGGTGAGGAGTTGACTGGCGCGAGGAAGGCCAATGGCGCATTTCGCATTAGAGAGCTTGCTGCAGCATGGGCGCCCGCACGCCGTAGTCGGGGCAGCAGCTGGGCGACCCCAGTGCGCGCGCCAAGGAGTTGGCCAGCTTCTGGAGCAATGCATCTAGGCACGCGCCCGCCGCGGAGGAGGATTTCCACCACCTGGGCCCCTTCGCCCAAACTGTCCAGCCCTCGGCCCGGCGGGCCCTCCGCTATGGCTAGTTTTACCAGCTTGTTCTGAAGAGGGAAGATAGTTGTCCAGGAATTGACGGGGTTCCTGACTCGGCTTGGAAGGCGGGCGGTGGGATGGCAGTGGACGCGCCATGCCAGCCGCGTCGCGCGGGGTTGCGCTCGGGCAAGTTCGAGGGCGACCTTCACTGTTCGCTCGCGGCCTTTCTCCCGGAAGGAAAAGTTTCAGCGTCCGAGCCTGGCCGAGCTAGGCCGGCAGCCTGCACTCGGCCTCTCACTCTTTCGAACAACACCAACAAGTTGGTGGCGGGGGGGCTGTCCTGGCCGCTGCGGGAAGTTGCTCCGCTTTTGGTTCGTCATGCCCAGGCTGGCTTTCTCCTTGATGAGCACATCCTGGACCGCATCTATGCCCGCAACTCGGAGCGTCGGGTCTGGTCGGCCGTCGAAGGGCACTCCTCCTCTGGAGGAGTCCTCTTTGACATCGAAGCAGCGTTCCCTTCGGTATCGCATGCGTTCATGTTCTACATTCTGCGCAAGATGCAGTTGCCTGACTTCTGTACCCATGCCCTCGAGGTCCTCTACGACAATGTTAAGGTGTGCATCGGATTCCGCGGCAACGAGGGCGCCGTGTTTTTTGCTCGAGAGGGGTTTTAAACAGTGGTGCCCGTTGAGCGGGCTGCTGTACGCCGTGATCGCAGACCCGCTGTTACGGTGCATGATGTGGAGTATCCCCAGTTCCCTCTGCCCACTGTCGTGGAATAAGAGGTGGTCACTGGATGCTTCTGCTGATGACTGGAGTCGCACGCCCCAGGATATTGTTCGCACGTTGCCTGTGGTCATGAAAGTTATGCCTTGGTTTGATGAAGTGACTGGCCTGGCTGTGCACCCGAGCAAGACAGTGATCATGATCATCCTTGGGGCGTCTGCAACGGACGCCCTGAGTGTGTTCGCCCGGCGCGGTCTGGATGCGCGGGTTTTTAAGCTGCCAAGAGTGGAAAGTATTTGGGCTTTATCGTCGGGGTCGGGGGAGAGATCGACTCGCAGGTGGACCCTAATGCGAAGCTGATGGGGGGAGCGAGGAAGATTCGAAACATGGGCCAGAGTTTCCCTGTGACTGCACTCGCGTTCAATATGTTCGCCTTCGCGGTGCTCGGCGATGTTGGCCAGCTCTGCCCGCCAAGCCCTGGCGCCTTGCGCTGCGAGTATGAGGCAGTGCAGTTGCTCCATGCTGTACCTCGGAACTCGATTGCCACTGGGGCGATGGTGAACCTCACCAAACTTGGTTTTAAACGGGAGGTACGGGAACTAAAACTATACTGTCGTGCCGTTGCATATCGCGTTGCTCTACGGTGCCGTGCGTTTGGGGGGTGGAAGGAAGAATGTGATGATATTACTGATGGGGACGACTAGCTTCTGAGTCATAAGTTTAATTTGTTTTTCGATTTCGACCCTCGCCGATCTTATGGCTGTCGGGGCCTCGGTCGGATGCTGTCCCTCGGGCGCCGGGTGACCGCGACACGGCGCGCCTTCAGGCTAAGACGATGTCCGCTCTCAAGTGGCACGGCCCTCAGCCTTCGATGGGATGTATTTTGCACGGGAGATTTTCCCACATATTCTCGGGGTGTGTCGCAGGAGCAGTCGTTTTTGACGGGCCTGAGGATGAATTTGATGGCCCGAGATGTGCCGCCCTGTATTCTATCGTCGGTATTGTAAACGGTGCGTAACAATTGGGATTGTTATGGTCGGCGCTCTATCCCGACAAGATGTTGCAATTGTTGTGGTCTTGCTGCTGCCGATCGAATGCGTCGCTACCTTCAGTGTCCTTTTCTTCTTTCTGATGTGAGGACCCTCCTTCCCCTTCTTCCTGCTTCCTGGGGCTCTGGGGATCCAGTCCACTGCTATGCGTTATGGGGTGTGGCCTGATACGCCTACTGCCCAGCTTGTCAGCATTGCCGTTGGCATTGATCTTATGCATTGTACATTCGATACTCGTAGGTATAGCAATCTTCCTGTCCGTGGCATTATGAAAGCTCGTGCGAGGGCGATGGCCCGTCGTAGTGCTCGAGTGCGGCATGTGTTGCAGGGAGTGTGGGACTCGGGACCCCTCTTTCCTCCCCTCAGCTGAGCGCGGCCCCTCTTCCCCCTCACCCTCCTCCTCCTGATGCTCCTCCTCGCGTTTCCCTCCTGATGTTTCTCCTCTTCTTCCAGGCCTTGGTGCGGCCCCTTGTCGTCGACGAGGCGGTCAACGACGAGGGTGCCACGATCGCCCTCGGCACCGCGGAAGGCGCCCCCGTTGGCTGGGGTAAGGCCCGGCCAGCCCTGACCTCCAGGCTTCGCGGCAAAGAGCGCAATAGACCCCAGGTTCCCTGAACAGCTTGTCTGCAAGTGTCCTATTTTGATGTCTGGTGGCCTTAGCCCATTCCGCCACGGCGTCTAGGCTGTGGGAGCCTTTTTCGGGGGCGGTTTTGGGAGCATCTCGGGGGCCTCTTCGAAACCCCTCGGGACCTGATTTGGGCCTCGTGGTTTCTCGTATCAGTGCGCGCAACACTGGCATTCATGCTTCTTTCGGCGGCGAGCGAGTGAGGGAAGCGAGAGTGAAAATGCTCCTTCAGAAGGTCGCGGGGCTTCTCAGGGGTCCGTCGGCCTTCTGAGAAGCTGTTTGTGTCCTCGGGGGAGGCTCAGAAGACCTCCCAGAAGACCAGGGGACTTCGAGCTTCCTGAAGAAGGCCTGCCTCCCCCTCGCTGCCCCCCCCCCCCGGGCTGGCCGCCGAATCCCCTGCTCTTGCAGGAGGCTCTTCGGGGCCTCCTGCCGCCAGGGACTGTGCAGTCCCGCGCGGCTCGCGGCCTCCGGCGGCCGTGCCGTCGGGCCCCCCCCCCCGAAGGGGCGCCGTGCGGGAACGGCCCCCGGCCGGAGCCCCGTCCCAGCGCCTGGCCCGACAGCTCCGCTCTCCGGGGGCCCTCGGTCGCGCGACGGCCCCGACGCCGGGGGTGCGGGCCGAGGAGCCTCCGGGGCCGAGGAGTGCAGCGGCGCTGGCGATCTGCGGGGCAGGCCAGGAGGATCTGCCCGAGGTCGCAGCCAGCCCAGAAGCGTGGAGCGTCTCCCTCCCCGTGAGGGGGCAGGACCTGGTATCCCCGTCCTCGAAGCAGAAGAGAAAGAGTCTCTAGGCCTCCCGGATGGGGGTCCGAGCGGATGGGGTCGAAGGATCGCGCTGCATCGCCGATGCATCGGCGATGCGGCTAGCCAGGGGCCCCGATTTTCTTCACGCCGACTTCGCCGACGCATCGCCGACGTCGACGATGCATCGCCGACTTGTCGTCGATGCGGCGCGATTCTCCGACGCCATTTCCTCGGACTCCATCCGGGTGGCCTCTAGAGTCGGTGCGATCGAAACGGGTACGGACAGCACGGGTAAGTTTGAACGGGGTTTGCAGTCCGTGTCTCCGCCAACCTTGTCCATTTCAGACATAAGGCCGCCTGCCCAACAGCGGCCGCTCTCGGTTTCGGGCCACACTTGCTGTTGGGCGCTGCACCCGTGCTTCCCGCCGTACCCTTTTCGGGCTCGATACCTTTTACGTCTCGTTGCTGCTCGCAACGGGCGAGCCTGCCTTGTTTCGGGCCCCGGGGGGGCCTCACTTAGCAACCTGAAGCATATCCCTGTCCCTATGGTGGGCATCACCTTATTTTGATGCCGATCTTCAGGATTATCTCAGTTTCTGAGGACGCATCCCTAAGATTGTCGTCGCCTTTTGGCTAGTCAGGGATAGGGATAAATTCGAGGCTGGTTACTCACGGATGGACTCTCGAAACATGCCGCAGGAGGACGGGGTCCAGGGCTCCGGTCGGGTCTTTTTCGACATGGTCGATGGCCCCCAGCCTTTTGCATCGCCGCGGAGGCATGAGCGCGGTCTCTGCCAGGGGAGGGGCGAGTGGTGGGGCGGGGGAGGGCGAGGGTCCGTGTCCGTTCCCTTGCCTTCTTTGCTACGCCTTCCCTTCTGCCCGCGCTCGCTTCTGTCCTTCCCTCTGCCTCATCCCCCCCCAGTCTCCGAGACGCCTCGCGGCGCAGCTCCGCCCGCCACTCCGCCAACCTGGACCAAGGGCGCGGAAGAAGGGGGTCCAGGACCCGCGTGCGCGGGAACTCGGTGGGTGGGGAGGAGGACGAGGACCACTGTAAACACAAGACGCATCAACGATGTTGCAATAAAAGCCCTCCATCCAAGAGAGCGCTTTGAATTATAGTTTTCGCGATCGCGGCCGTTGCCAGCCCTGGCCGCCCCCCCCCCAAGTAACGTCACGATTCGTGCTGACCTCCGAGGTGGCTTTGATTATTCAAAGGCGTTCCCAGACGGCGCCGGCGACCGTTGCAGGCCCCCCGCCCGCTATCGCTGGGAAATATAGAATTCTCTCCAAGTTCCGTCTGTCCATAGGTCCCCGCAATAAAGGGTTTTTATTGCGGGAAGTCTCTCATTGAATAACGTTTGAGATTCCTAAATCTTGCCGCACACAATAATTCTTAGGTTTCCAACGCCACAACTTCATGTGTCTGTTGAGACGCGGCAGTCATACTTCGCATCATAATGCCATTCTTGGGACTTCAACATCGCGGATCAATGTGGCGCTTGCGTCCTGACATTCCTAAAGCAGTCGTGCCGGAACACAATAGTTCTCGGACCTCAGCCCTACGAATCCCCAGATATGTTTTGGCATTTTAGCCAAATCCCAACAAGCGATGTTCGCGGCGCTGTAGCGAGGACCACATTTGGAAAAGAAACCGCTCTCCATACTTTAACCTGTTGCAAGCTTAGCGCGGCGCTACGACAACATATGAATTTGCTAAAGACGACCCGGCTTCCATGCAACGCTTGCAGATCTTTCAAACGAGTGCGCGCGGCGCTAAGGTGAGAGCCACGTTTTGACAAGGACCCGGCCTGGAAATGTCAGGCTTCAGGATCACAAGTGGAGAGGAAGGCTCAGGCGAAACGCCCGGCCCACCTTACCAACACGTCTGGGGGTGCGACAATGAGGATGAATGGAATGGAATATTGAGGATCAAGGATCGATGGGGTAGGAGCAGGAGGAGGATTAGGAGGATCGATGATCGGGGATCGAGCGAAGATCGAGGTTTGATGTTTTCGGGCGTTTGGGGCTATATTAGGGATCTTGGAGGAGTCCCCTGTCGACACGGCTGGATTCCAATCGAAGTTTTGGACGCTTCCCCTAATTAACCCCACCAGCCAATGCAGAAGCGATGCCCAGACGAATTGCATGTATCAGGGATGCGGATGAGCATGCAGTGGAATAAAGGGCTGTGTAAGACGTCATACCCCAAGAGGGAGAGGATGGATGAGGAATCGTCGCCGTCGGAGGAGGGGGCGGAATCTGAGGAGCAGGAGGAGGAAGGAGGAGGAGGGAGAGGAGTAGGGAGAGGGGGAAGGGGAGAAGGGAGGCGGCGGCGGGCTCATCCGGAACACGAGTCTGAGTTGTGCCGAGGCCGAAATCAAAAAGTTAGTTCAAGTTCCTCGAGTGCGCATTACTGCGGTGACTTAGCACGTGGGGGGGCTCACGCGCTCCTCGGCTCACAGAACGGTCATATCCCTGTGGCCAGGAGCGGCTGAACTCCACAAAACTTCGGGGGATCCCTTCGAAAAACCGAGGCTGGCGGGAATCCGTAATCAATCTAAAGAGAACGGCCAGCACCTTCGGGACCAGTGCAAACACCGAAGACCAGGGGGCCCCAGGACCAGCGAGAGCCCAGCAGCCGCCGCAGCAAAAAGGAACACACGCCCAGCAAGGGGGAGGCAGCAAAACTACTGTTTTTCCTGGGGGCCGCCCCGATCAACCTCAGGATGCTGGCATTCAAGCTGGAGGAAGAGGCGAGGCGAGGAGGGGTAGACGAGGGGTCACGAGGGGAGGGCGAGGGGGGGCAAGGTGGGATTCCGCCGCCTGCTGCGGAACCACTTGAGAATTCGACTGTCTCGGCGAGTCCCTCTCACCACCTCCCTTGCCCAGTGAACTCCCAGACGAGCGAGCGGGTAGCAGTCGAAGGTATTCTGGGGGTCGGTGGCCACGAGAGGGTTAGTCTCTGAGAGGCCGCAGGCTGTCGGGAAGGAGCACAAGGAGTACGCATCAACGGACATGTAGATGCCGCGATTGGACCCGGAGTCAAGGTCGCTAAGGCCACTCTGAGCCGCCGTCAAGGTCGCTAAGGCCCCAGGAGTTGCCATCTGCGATGAAGAGCTGCCACTCTGAGACGCGACCGTTGCGGTAGGATTTACAGCATGCCTGCGTTGTCCAGGGATATTTGCATCAGGTGCTCGTGGTGCGAGCGCGGCGTCGTCCCCTTCATTAGTTTGCCTCCGAGCTGCTTTAAGGAGTCGAGCAACTGTGGCTGCACGCCTGAGGCGTGCGCTAATTCAGCTTGCGGTCGTGCGTGTACGAGATCCGACGGTGGCGAATTTGATCCGTCGGGTCGCCCTTGATGCCGTCGATGTACTGCTTCAGCGCCTGGTAGCTGGCCGCTCCCACTCGCTCGCCTTGCTACACCACTCCGCCGACAAGTGCGATCAACAAGTGTGAGGGAGGCACTCCTAGCTGCTCCAAGTCCTCCACGGGCTGCTGGTCGATGAGCTCTTGAGCGTGGTCGCGCCGAATGCGGTTGGCCTCGTCCACGTAGTACTTCGCGGTGATCCTCATCGCCTTGCACACGGCGTGGTCCCGCTCCAGGTGGATGATGTGGCAGATGGCGGCTTCGAGTGCCGCCAGCCCCTGTGTGTTCTTGAGCACCGCGCGGACCATCACTGCGAAGATGGCCTGGATGAGCTCGACCGGGAACGCCTCGTTGCCAAGGCCCACCACGTCCGTTCGTTGGAGCCCATACGGCACTTCGGCGTTCTGGACGAGCTGGCTCAGCGCGTTCGCCGCTCCCTGGGTGCCTCCCCGAGGAGCTGGTGCTGCTCCTGCTGCTGGCGCGGCTGCCCTCCCCCACCGGCGACGGCGGCCACCCCCTGGAGGTCGGGGGCCTGCGGCTGGCCGCCACGACGGCCGTCGCGAGACGGCGGCGCTCTGCCCTGCCGACGGGGGGTCCCGTCGTCGCTCTCCGCTTCCGGACCGCAGCGCTCTCTCTTGGTCCTCGACGCCTTGGCCGGCTGAGGGCACGGCTTGCCAAGTCATCCCGCTGTGTGGAAATTAGATCGGGAGGCGAGGGCGCGTGGACGTCTCTGATGTGTCGCTGGAGCTCGGCCAACGTCTGAGACTAATCAAGGTGTCCCGAGCCTGGGGGCATACAG